ATACTTCTTGAACTAAATTGTATTAAGCTACCTGGTAAAACATCAGATGCCTTAGTATTTAGTTTTAATTTTGTATGATAAAGATATGCCCTTATGAACACTGTTAATATTGGTTCATTTAGTATGCTTTTATTTTCAGAACATTACTTTATAGTCTTTAATATAAAAAAATCAAAACAACTCAATTAAGAAAACGGCAATGATTCTTCTTGTTAAAACCGGATTGAAGGTAACTTCTTTCATAATCTCAGCAGCAGTGCATTAAAACACTACAAGAGTCACAGAACTGTTCTTACACTTAACGCCAAAATATAATTCAACAGAAGTAAAGCTATAATAAACAACATTGACAGTTCAAACACCAGGTGTTTTTGTGTGCTGAATTAACTGAAAGATACTTTTTAGACCAGAGTATGGTCGCTGAACTCCTTTTGAACACAGGTTTCATCAGTTAAACAATTCTGGGTACATATCACATGAATAAAACACACGCACGCAAATCCTGGTGTAGTGGGTTACCAATTGGGCTCCCATAAAGATTTAGAGCCTCAGAAACCTACAGGGGCGGTCCTATGTCCTACAGGGTCACTAGGGTCAGAACTGACTTGATGGCAGTGAGATTTTTGGTACTTATTTACTTTTACATTATAAAACATATATCCGATGGAAGTTCACTGTTTTGTTCCAATAAGCCTATGTGTCATTTTGTGTCACAAACACAAAGGAATGACACTCTTCCATGAATGGTTGGTTTCAGCTAAGCTTTTAAATAAACAATCTTTATTTTAAGTAACATTTTTCTCCCAGGAAGAGCGGTTGGTGGATTCATCGGTCAGTTTTTCAGTTAGTAGCCAACTATTGTAACCACTGCATTTGAGATCGCCTCAAATAAACAATAGGCAGTGTGATTTCAAGGTTATGTTCTCACAAGTGCCTGGAGGACAGCCTGGAAGCTGGTTATTGTGGAGTCACATACTTCTAAGTCAGGGCAAGGTGGGTGGAGTGACACCCTTGTGTGGGTTGAGGAGCCCTGGGTTAGCACTCTGTTCTCCTCTACAGGCTGGCTCAATCAATGCACAGGCACATATATGATACAGCCCTGCTCTGGGCCACAGTGCACAGATTCGATAACCTAGAACTATGTGACTGGTTAAAGAATTATTTTTGCTACCTGTCTAGACATGCTTGCCAGTGGTAAAACTAAATCTCAAAAATTAAGAATTAGTAACATGATTTTCAACTGTTACACTATGCAAGCCTAGATTATTATTTTTAATTCCTCCTAGATGACTATAGCTTAATATCCAAATGGTGATTCAATGGGAAAAAAATACTACTATTGGAGGTAAAAACCCTGAATAGTCGTTCCCATAGTGATCAGTGCTCTTCATATTTTATTCAATCCTAAAGCATCATGGGCTAGTTATATTTTTTTCATGTATTTCTACATGGGTATGGAGAATATAATAGGGAGCCCTGGTCGCACTGCGGGTTGGTGCTCAGCTGCTGCTAAGTGCAAAGTCAGCAGTTCAAACCCACCAGCCTCTCTACTGGAGAAAAATGAAGGTGCGCCGTGCATCTGTTTCCACCTAGAAAACTGTAAAGGGCTGCTATGAGTTGGAAATGACTTGATAAATGTCTACAGCAGTAGCCCTGGTGGCATACTTGCTAAAGTGCTCAGTTGCTAACTGAAAGGTTAGTGGTTTGAACCCATTAGCTCCTCTGTGAAAGAAAGATGTGACAGCCCGCTTCCACAGAGATGAAGCCCCATGCAGTACCATGACTGCACTCTGATGCAAAGCAATCCAACAGAACTGCCTTATCAAGGCTCTCCAACCTCAGAGGCACAGGCTGGCTACCTCACTCTTCTCCATCAGAATAGCTGGTGGATTCAAGCTGCCCTTTTGATTAACAGCTTATTGCTTTAGCTACTGCACCATCAAGATCCATCTTACAGCCTTGAAAGTTGGATTCTCTTATAAGGTTGCTATAATCTGGAATTAACCAACGGGAAACAGGTTTTGTTTCTATGCCTCCAACTTTTCAATCCACAAATCGTCTAAATGGGAGAGAGCTCACATCTGTGAAGGGAGCTCTGGTGGTTTAGTGGGTTATGCCTGTTGCTGTTAATAACAAGGTCAGAAGTTCAAACCCACCGGCCCCTCCTCTGGAAAAATATGAAACTTTCAGCTCTGTAAAGATTTACAGCCCTTAGAGCAGTGGTTTTCAACCTTCCTAAAGCCTCGACCATTTAATACAGTTCCTCATGTTGTGGTGACCCCCAACCATAACATTACTTTCCTTGCTACTTCATAACTGTAATTTTGCTACTACTGAATCATAATGTAAATATCTGATATGCAGGATGTGTTAGGTGACTCCTGTGAAAGGGTGGTTCGACCCCCAAAGGGGTCGTGGACCCACAAGTTGAGAACTGCTGCTGCCACAGAGTGACTATGAGTCAGAAGACTCCAGGGCAGTGAGTTTTGGTTCAACATTTGTGAAGATTCAATGTGCTGTGTTTTATACACATTCCCTCATTTAATTTTCAAAACAAGCATTCAATAGTGATCATTACTATCCACATTTTATAGAATAAACAAAAGCTTGGGTAGGGGATAATGCAGTGAAGACTCAAATCTAGATCTGTTTGCTGCAAAGTATGCATTCCTCCCACTATACTAGAAAATGGAATAAAATAACTAAACTAATTTAAGGACAAGAGGAAACGCTCAGTCTACATATGAAAGGTAATTCCTCTTCCTTCAGAAAATTAAGCAAAAAATAAAGCAATAATTACAGAGGGCTAATGCCAAGAAATTGTAAAAGGTTAATATAAAATTACGTTCCAATTCAGTCTTATTTTAAGTAGTTTAAAATTGTTCCCCCTTCAACCTTCCCGTTTCCTACACCCCAAATACCAAGCCTCGGGGTGTCAGAGTTGAGTCCACAGAAGACAACTGATTCTGTTCAAACCAGATAAACACCCACCACAGCACTGTTCAACACTCCTTCCTGGGAATCTCCCAGATAAGTATCACCAATAACAACACCATCTTAAAGGTCTGTTTTATAATAGATACAGAATTACTAGCTCCTGGCCTAAGTTTGTCTGTGGTTGAATCTGTAGGTTGAATCTGAACAGGTGCTTACAGTTCTTACTTAGTTTTACTTTAGATCAAGAAAAGGCTTGAAGAGCCTTTGCCATGATTTCAAAGCTGCACATAGAACAAGTGCAGGTGACTGTGATGAGGAATTTGCTCTGAGTTGGGATTGGTCCAATCTTTTCAGTGGGAGGGCAAACATTAAAGGGCAAGTTCTGAGTTGTCAGTAAATAGCTGTTCATACCCCAGAGATTTACTCTAAATACCCTGTTTCCCCGAAAATAAGACAGTGTCTTATATTAATTTTTGCTCCCAAAGATGCGCTAGGTCTTATTTTCAGGGGATGTCTTATTTTTCCATGAAGAAGAATACAGTACACATGTATTGTTTTATTAAGAGACCTTGCACTTCTAGTCTGCTCCGGCTACGCTGCGGCCAACAGTGAGCCGTGCGGTGGCGCCCGCCTCTACGGTCCAGAGTCCAGAAGCTTCAAGGGGTCCTATTTTCGGGGGGCGGGGGATGCCTTATATGTCAGCGAGAGGCAAAACTATAAGTAGGTCTCATTTTTGGGGGATGTCTTACCTTTCGGGGAAACAGGGTAGTACTTGGGGTTAAACTGACGTATAATCCCAAAGTGAAGCTAATTCCATTTTCCAACTGTAAATTAGATTTAGCAATCAGCTCAGGCTCCAAAGCTGCTTCCAAATCACCCTTGGGGCTGGTAGGGCTAGATAATCTCCCTAATAACATCAATTGCAAAATACAGATTCAACTATGGGGGTTGGGGGACACACATTTGGGGTAGCATTTTAACCTTTAATAAGGCAATTTCCCATTTGATTAGTCTGAAGCTTGAAAGATATCTCAAGAAGCTGATTTTAGCCTCCAGCTAACTAAATATTAAACTCAACTCATCCAGTCCATAGAGACCCTGTACAACATGGTAAAACTGTCCCTGTGGGTTTCTGAAACTAACTCTGCAGTAGTAAAAAACCTCAACTTTTTCCTGGAGCGCTGGTGGCTTCAAACTGCGGACCCCAAAATGTAACCCAGGACGTCACCAGACCTCCTTCCCTATTAGAGCCCATTTTACAGTGGAGGTAACAGAATTCTACTAAGGTAGACGAAGAGTCTTTCATAAAGAGTTGGAGCGACTGGGATCTTTCAGTTTGGAGAACACTACTTTCCCAGTAAGATGAGAAAGAGCTAACACCCTTGTTATCCTATGAAGAAGAACCTAGCGAATATGCCCTCTTTAATTCTCACATGACCACCGTTTACAGAAACTGTAAACCAGGGATCTAAGATCCGGCCCAAGGTCAACCGTACTGTAAGTGGGCGAGTAAAATTAAAAGCCAGGTTCGCCTACAGACTGAAAGAAGCAAAGGACCCACGGGGTGAGGAAGGACTTCACTCCATCTGAAAGCCCGCAAGCCCATGCAGTTGGGGGAGGGCTCCGTCTGCAGGCCTCGGCCAGCCGCGGCGAAAGGAAGTCGATGACCTTTACTCCGAACCCTCCGGTACCACTGGCCACCAGCCGGTTCTCTGCTCCGCGGGGGTTTATTCGTCACCTTCCCTGCTAGGAAGGCTGGAAGGAATGGGGGTTTCGTGGCGATCCAGATACTTTCGTGGGGCAGAAACTGCGAAGGCTCAGGTTTGGGTTGCGCGTAAGGGGAAAGATGAAGCAGCCCAGGCCGCGAAGGACGCCAACTTTAGAGCCACGAGGTTGGGAGAGATGTGAGAGGCAAGGAGGTGAAACAGAGATGTTGGCAGAGTAGATGGATTCATTAGAGGGCAGCGGTTGGGGCTAAGGGTGACCGCCTTCAATCACATAGTTGTTAGCTCGGGGGCAGCTACTGGCATTTTGCAGGGAGAGACAGGGGACGGATCTCTTACCGGCAGGGTGGTTGTACAGCGGCCTCAATTTCTCGGGCAGCATCAACTCCACTTTATCTAGGACTCGGTGGTAGGTGGCCCGCAGGCCTCGGGCGCCGGCGCCCGCCATCTCTGCCGTCGAGTAATTGTGGGTAGCCGGGTGGGAGAGTA